TCTATCTATGAAACAAACACGACCAGGAGGATTAGGATTGAAGTGACAAACCACAAAGTTTTCAGTTTACAGTTCTAACTGGCCAGGTTGTAGATTTTTAGGTGTTTCAGGCATATGAGAAGTTTCCTTATTCAGGAAACTTCTCATATGTATGCTCACTGTTTTGTTCCAGAAACTCGTGTATATTTAACCAAATAAATTCAGTATTGTATTCATTGTGATGCCATGGGGGTAGCGGTCACTACTGTGGGCAGGAACAGGCGTGTCACATGTGGCCACATACTCGGAGATCTCCGACTCATCCATGCCAGCATCCTCTATAATCTCCTCCAATATCATCATGCAGGTCCCTCACTTCACCAACCCCTTCGCTTGTGAATTCCAGGGCTTGACAAACTTTACTTTCAACTCTTGATCTTACCCTTCAGGCCCTTTTGGGGAGATGGCCCTCTCTTGCTAAGAGCCTCCCTGCTCTCACTCACCTGTAGCCGTCTGCTCTCCCGCTGTCACACACCACAAGGGCTACGGCCACTATGCTCAGTCAGGCCTCAGACTTTCAAGGTCCTTCTCCAGTCGCCGACGTTGCACCTGATGCCACCAGGCCGGGTGGTGTCTCACAATCACCAGTCTCCCGTGCCTCCCACCTGCACAGACTTGAACTCACTCAACACCAAGCCTCACGTAGCACCTCTGTGCAGAGACTCAAAATACTTTCCCTATTAAAACTGCTCACACAACTGCTCCGACTTCTCACTCATGTGACCTAGATTGCGTACTCACAGGCACTGGTGCATCGTTTCCTTGTGCCTGATCAACACTGCGCTTCACCACCACACCATACAGCATCAGTAGCACCCTTGCTGTTGCCACAGCACACTCGCCACCAGAGGTTAGCAGCTAGACCGACCCTACTCTCTCCCCCCGTACCTCTGCTGCATCTCACACTCTGGTACTTACGCTAAAACACATGAACACTCATTCAGCAGACTTCCTGCACAGCCACTCAAAACAGGCTGCCCATCCCTTTAAATAAATGGATCCTAAGCTAAGCCCCTCTCTGAAGGCTCTCCTCCACAATCCGCTCCGGGACTCCGCAGTAGCCCCTTTTCAGGGATTAGCTGCAGCCACTACTCTGCCTTCTCCTTCACTTTCATAAGGCAAACGCTCACCTTAAACTTGCATCTCAGCAGCGTCACATGCCCACTGCTAACCAAAATCCAGCAGGGCGCTCTCACTTCTGAGCCTGTCTGCGGGAGACCTTATTGCATGTCTGCTCTCCCCTGCAGCCAACTCAGGACTGATGTCCTGGCTTGGGCTCCTCTGTGGGAAGTTTTGGTCTGCTCTTAAAGTCCTCCCACAGCTGAGCTGAGGCTCATCAGCACTCACTCCTCTCAGGTGTGGTTGCCAAGGCAATGTGTTGCTCTATCGAGAGCTCCACCTCCACACCAAACGCACCTTGTGCGGTTCCACAACATCAATGTCCCATAGGAGAGGCTATATTAGGACATCACAAAATACACCTGTTTTAAAAATAATAACTGTTATAAAAGCAATTCAAATTTTAACTTTTCTAAAAAGCTTCTCATCAGAAAGTGTACACAGTGCCTCTGTTTTATAAAAGGTAAAAATTGTGGGAAGTAGAGAAAGACGCAAGTAAAAACTTGCAAATTTGTAAATTTTAGTACCACTGTTGCATTAAAAACAAAAGAATTTGATTATGTGTAATTCTGTTTCATGAACTATCCACACAAATACCGGCATTAAATCATTCTTAAATTACTCTGTGCTGAAAAACAGTGACCTAAAAATAAAATTATAGCTTAGATTAATAAAATCCTTTATTTTAATACAATATAAAACCATTTTAAGCCCATATGCTAGGCATATTTTACAAGTACCAAAATTGTCATAGCTTAAGTGTAAAAACTTAAAAAATAATTCAGAAACACAATGTATTGTATTATTTCCAGTTGCTAGTAAAAGATTTTCACTTACAACACTGCAAAGTTCCAGCAACCTTGACCTCCTTTATGTAAATATAAAAATATATTCAAGACTATTAATACAAATCAATATATTACTTTGATTTTGTACTTAAACTATGAAAATGGAACAGAAAAGCATCATGATGATGTGCAGTACAGTTGTCTGTAGCAAAGGCAATATCTCTTGTAAACAAATCTTAGAAAACAGTTTATTCAACAAATTTTAAATCCCAAAATAGATTTCAAGTGCATACTTCAGTAATTGATCAACTGAAATTCATAAGACTAACAAAAAACAGTTGAATTAACAGTCAACAGCATAAACACCACCACTCCTGCATACAAAGACATACAAGAGTAGTCTTCCCTGACATGGAAGAAAAAACAACAAATACAGTCTAGAAACACCCAGATTTGGTTTAAATAATTGTCAAAGTCTAGATATCATTTCAGGAAGTTTCTTAACATCTTAACATAACATTGCTAAATGTCAAGCTAACTTTTAACATCAATGTTAACTTTTAACACGTTAAATGACGTCATTCATAGTAATTAACTATGTTAATTTCACCTGGGTGAAAGTCTTTTCAAATATTTCTGCAGCACTTTCTCATGTGAGAAAAATAGGAACAAATTCAAATTAATTAAATCGCCACTGAAACGTTTTTTGTTCTCGTACCTTATGCGTATCCCTTATGGAAACACAAATAATTTGTCTTCCACTGGCCAAACAGGAGCCGGAATTCAGAAATAATCTTAACCATCATATAATCTCTATTTAACAGTGGGTCAAAATAAAAAAATGATTAAAATGCAAAAAAATCATGGGAAACAATCCTACAATTTATTATGAAATCAGTATCATTTTCTTTACAGTATATATGTAGTCTACTAATACTATGCAGGCACTGCCAAATTTCTTATTTTCTTTGACTCACAATACTTTTAAATTGTAAAAATGGACAAAAATATTAACACTGATTTTAAAATCCTCCTTAAAGATATGTTCAGAAACAAAGGTTCAGATTATGACAGGAGTCCTGATCATCCTGAACAAAGATCTAGACAATTTAAAAAAAATCAAATCTGAGATTCGAAATATTGATGGTCTTGTAGAGCAAATTCCCCACTGCCAAAAGCACAAATTCTTTTCAAAAATCAGTGTTGCCTCCTCCTTATTTTACGACTGAAAACAAAAAAAGTATTTGAGTATTTGTAGAAAAGCTAATCTTATACTTGCAAAATACCTAATGGACTTGCTCTTCTGCATAGAGCAGATACAATCTTGGTTAAAAAAAAGCTTTTTATCAAGTTACATGAATAGTATAGAAAACAAAGTGAAGTCATCTTGTACTTGAGACATATTCAAGATGGCAAAAGAACAACAGAAAAACAGCTGCAGACACTGTGCATATATTGCATGTAAACATTGTACAGCATATAAAATAACAACTGGAACTCGGAATAGTGCAACCCAGCTGTTTAGCTTCGTTGGCAGCAGCTGTGCTTGAAAGTTGCTACTTGAGCAAGGCACGGTAGAGGGCGAGTGAGTGCCGCAGTGATGGCTGCTGCTCCATGCAGAACAGGAGATCCCTGAGACTGGCCCTTGTGGTTCGCTGAAGGAGCCAAGACTTTGGAACGGCAGACAGCCCGGAGGAGCCCTGGAGAGAGAGCAGACACAGACAGGAGAACATTCAACCAGGCGTAACGAAATGTGATTTGGACTCAAAACAAAAAAAGTGACTGATCATGAAAAACAAAACCCATTATACCACTGAACTGAGCTACCTTATCCATTAGCAAATTCGAGCATCATCAGCAGACATTGCTTTCTTTCAACTCAATGCTCCACGCTATTCAGTTATTATAACCAATGGAGACTCTTCCCCCTGAGAGCAGATGTTTGGTGAGTGTACTGGTGCACTCTGGCTGCCATCGCATCATCCAGGTGGGGCTGCACATTGGTGGCTGTGAAGGCATTTTCCATTACCTGTAAAGTGCTTTAAGTGGAGTGTCCAGAAAAGCTCTATATAAGTATAACATTTCAGCAATACTTTAATAAATAGTCTTCTGGTTGCTTTCACTGAGTAAGTGAACGTTCAAAGAAATCTTTCTTCTTGGACTCATTCATTATTCATCAATGTAGAGAACCGACTACCCTGAACGGTCAAGATCCAGACAAGAATTAGAAAACACCGCCAGATGAGATGCAAGAAATGTCACACATGGAAGTACATAAGGCTTTATCTTTATATGTTGTGTACAGTATACATTAATATAGCCTCTCATAAAAAATTAATTACCAACTTGTACACTTCCAAAGCGTCTCAGTTTGTCCATGTATCATTTATCAGTAAAAATGAAAGCCCACAGCAGCTGTGCTCGTTTCGTGGCGTATTGAAATAGAATATCACATGGCTAGTTACACTCTCTCAGGAGTAGTTTAGCATTCATACAAATTATTTCTTTAAAAAAAAACTAATATTAAATGATGTATATGACAAAGCAATAATTATATAATAATGTCGGCCCACCCGTTAGTGTCCTGGTCCGAATTTTTCACACATTCCGAATCGACAACTGTTACGGGACATTATGATACGGGACATGGACAGGGTCAGCTGACCTCCGGCTTTGTCCCAATGGAGCATGCAATGAAGATGATCCCGAGACAGTACCGTACTAGCTAGTACTCAGCTTCGTATGCAGCTCTGTACGAAATCGTAAAGTTCTTTGCAATTGACTCATTTCATTTTAATTATGCTTCAAAGACAAATATCGTACAGCTATTTCTTAACTCGAGACACAGTGCAGTATGCCTCAGTCATCTTTTTTCTTCATCTTAGTGACAAAACCACATCGGTCGAGAGCAATACAGAACCTGCAGCTACCTCTTTCAAACTTTCAAACTGGCAGCACTTTCCGAGACCAGACTACCACCTTCCTGATGGCAGCAATGGATGCAGTTGTAACTCTCCGCTGCGAGAGGACGGGGCCCAAAGTGCTCCTCCTGCCTGCAGTCAGGCCTCTCACGCCTGCTCTGTCACAGGCTGAAGCCCAGCCCGCAGCCTTCTGGGAAACGCATGCTTTAGCCTTCAGCACAAAAAAACGTTTGGGCACAAGTACTGCAAAGCCATCTGGGTAATCTTTTCAAAGGCTTTGGGTAATATTTGCAGTTTATATAGGCAAAAAGTAGTACTTAATTTCCATACCTACAAGCCTCAAGGAAATTTAAACCATTAATTAGAAACTAATTAAACTAAACTAATACAGAAAATTACACATTTTTCTGCTTTTGTTTTCTTTACTCTTCAGATGCTTGATTTTTTTTTCCTCCTATACATCACTGTCATAAATAATTTAAACCCGTATGGAAACAAATTAGCTTGCGTATGTTTTCTGGCTATCACAAATGCAAGAAATCCCAGTGAGAGGATTAAAAAGACAAACTGAATTCAATACAAAGAGTTAAGAAGAACAGCTGTGTTTATTGAAAAGGTAGCTTATTATTTGTAGGCTCCCAAAGTTGTTTAACTTTTTTTTCAGAAATTAGTTTTACCAGTTTTGGACACCCAGCAGCAATATGCAATAAAGACCATTCACACTTAGAGCCAATCATGGTAGAAACTGCATCAAATAATCAGTTATAAAAATTGCTCAAATTAATACCAAAAACCAGTGAACCCCTTATATATGTAGTACTTCCATTTCCGATTCACTTATAAACTAATGTTTGTTCTTCATTTTGTTCCAAGTATTATCATGTGCTGACAGATTAAACCATTTTAATAATCACAGACCGTCTTGTAAAAGAGAAAGTAAAATGAGAATCTTGCACTGCAGAAGTGCTGGAAATGTACAAGCATCACCTTGTGATGCAATTAAGGACAGCCACAGAGGGCATATCCATGCAGCTCTAAGTGCATTTACATGTGCAGGAGAGAAAGACAAGGCATTCGAGTTCCAGATAAATATTCCACAGAAGGAGAACTTGAGTCGTTCTTTCTTAACCAAGCATGCCATCTTGATGGTTGCTTCCTTGATGCCTGAGGCTCCGTCTGATCATCCCTGCTGTGTACAAATGTGTCAAGACAAACCTGATCTGATCTAAGATCCTGACAGGCCATTCCAAGCTTCCCCTTGCCTTTTAAAACTGCTCACAAGGGACTGAAATATACAATTGAAAAGGCTTCACGTGTATTAATATTTCAATGTCAATGTTCAAATCCTTCTGTGTTTTCATTGGAAGCATGTCATGTATTCAAACACTAAGAGTCGATACACTGAAGACACCACGTAGAAATAAAACAAAAGCACACTAAAAACTGATTTACATTAAATATATATATATATGCAAAACATAAAAATAAAAGTATCTAGATTCAGACAAATGGTCAGAATTACAACTGTCAGATTACATAATTGGAAAATGTGGAAAAAGCTGTTTCTGAAGGTTGCCGTTTTCTTATTGCATTCTACAAATAAATACTTCTCGGTGCACAAATTACATTCTTTGGCTGTGCCTAAATGGTGCAATACTCTCGCAGTGAACATAAACACATTATACAGCACTCGGTACTGTCTCCCCAACAGACACACATGCAGAAAACACATCCCTCCAGGGGCTGGGGGAAGGGGTTGCACACCGAAAGATGGGAACATTTCAGAGGGGATTAGAGCCACTTGGATGTGCCTTGTGTGCCGAGTGCTTCATTACACCCTTAAGGGCATATCTCACGATAACCTAACCCGTTCCTGCCCTACTGCAAAAAACAATCCGTGTTAACGTGTAGGTTTTGCCTCTACCCATTCTTGCCCAATCGGAAATGTCAATCTTAAATTGTCTTTTGACACACGGTCCCCTTTGCATTGTTTATTTACTTCAGAAACGAACTAGCCCGATGGAAGAATACATCCCTGGAATTCAGCAGAGAATTATTCACTTTATTAATTAACCCAAGTGGGGTTGCTGTGAAGATACACAACACCTAGGAGTAACAATGTTTCTCTAAAGACAAGATACCAAAAGGGGGAAACATGAGAAAATGATGGTGCCTGTACTTTGACGTTTTCAGCTCTAAACCCACAAGCAATAACAAAGACATCAACCTTAATCCATGAACCAAACCATCAACCTTGGCTTAAATGTATGAGTAAAGACTCTAAAACATAGTCTATTAATACCACAATACCTTCCAAGATTCCTTCCAAGATTTCAAACATAATCCTATGATCTATGATTCCTATACTAACATTTGTAACCTTGTCTACAAACTTTAGCAGTACAGAAAGCAAACATTTCCCCCATGTTCAACCTTTTAAAGTGATGAGCTTTGATTATTTAGAAAAAACGTTACCTAGAAAAAATGTAGCATCTACATAAGCGGTTTTATGGCTTAATAAAATAAACCTTTATTTAACAAATTTAAGAACAAATTCTCATTTACAAAGATGGCCCGGATGCTACCCATGTAGAAAACAATTCTGTTTGGGGCATCAGAGTAATGTAGCCTGCAGAAGGACAGTACTGCCCTACCTACAATTTGAACCAACACCCTAGCAGTGTGGATTCAGGGTTTATTCAATGATAAATCTTAAATTTCCAAATTTGTGCTACCAGATATGTTCGGGTGTTTAACCAGAATGACTATTAAACCAAAGTGCATGAACTACAGTATTTGCATCTATTATTAAAAGCATCAAAAATAAATCTCTGAAGCTTCACCAGGTGCTGTATTCTATAACTGCAATGGCTAATGTCAGCAATATCACTTCACCACCTGACTAAAGAAAAGTACCACAGGACCTCTTTGAGAATGTGAACAATGTAGTTAAAGATATATCTACTGCATAAATGAAGATTTCCATCAAGCTACAAAACAAAAATAAAAATCCATTGGCTTTTCGAAGGTTAACTCTGTGCTGGTGTGAAGACCACAAGAGAAGAGAGAAAACTTAATTTCAGAAATAAACTTTATAAGAGTATTGTTCCTATGGATGCATCTTGCCCGTGGCCTAGTTTCCACGGCCCAGGTCCACACGGCAGTTCCAAAGGCCCGCGGCCCGCGGCCTCCAGCCTCAGTGTGCCTGATCCGAGCAGGTTCTCTGGGTTTCAGCTGAACCATCATGGGAGTCCAGTTCACATCGTCCTATGTCTGGCTCCTCACCTACCAGGAGCACAAAGCCCCCTGCATCTCTCTCTCAGCTGGCCTGAGGGCTCCTGGGAGTCCCTCAGGAGAAGCTGGAGGAAGGGAAGTCAGGTCCGTGCTGCTCAGCCCATTACCACCGAAACCCTCTGGTTCGAAAATGAATAGATGGGTGTTTCTAGTTACTATATAACGTATTTCAATAGGATGCATATAATGAAGAAAGTCAATAATTCAGTTGTGCGCTTGGAGCCTGCTATCATCTCCAACACCATCTGAAACTCACCTTCTGGATGAAACTCTTAATACATGGTGTATGAGAATCTGTGACTGTCGTGTGATTCCTCATCATAGACTAACCATTATAAACAAATCAATGCAGAAAGCTGGCTCAAGTGCCCGAGCGCCAGGTTGCAATACCTCATCAAGCAGAGGAAGCGATTTTCTGTTTTCTGTCTGACCTCTTAATCCAGCCCCCTCACATAAATATTTGCTCTAATAACCCTCTTACACAA